AATACTGATATCAGGAAAACAGAAGAAGCATGAATAAACAACTTAAAAATAAACCTCAAACTTTTAGAAAAATATGAGCAGACTAAGGCAAAAGTTCATGCAATGAAGCAAATTACAAAGCACAGAGTGGTAATTAATGCACTGGATAGTAAGAGAATAATACAAAGAATCAATGAGTCGAACAGTTGCTTCTCTGAAGCATTAAACAAAATTGACAAACACTTATTTAACCTTATCAAAAGACTCCAGTCCACACAAATATGAATGAAAAGGGTGAAATCACAAGGCCCCCTCCAGAAATCCACAAGTCCATCTACACCCACTTGGAAAAGTTATATTCTAAGATGGACAATGAAGAAGAAATACAAAGATTCCTAGCTAGAGACAAATTACCAAACCTGACTGAAGATGATATAAAAATCATGAATAAACCAATGTCAATCAATGAAATAGAAGATGTGAGTAAAACTGTACCAACAAAGAAAAGTTTGGTATATTTGCTGCTGAATTCTACCACAAATTTAGAAAACACCTAACACCATGACCTCCCAAAATTTTTAATGAAAGTGAAAGGGAAGCAGTACTCCCAAGGTCATTCTTGGAAGCAAGCATTATCCTGATGCCAAAAGAAGAGAAGGATGAAACTAAGAAAGAGAATTACAGGAAAAGTTTCCATAAGGAGCATAGATGCAAAAATCTCGAATAAGATACTGGAAAACAGAATCAGCAAATCACCAAGAAGATTATAGACCATGACCACATGGGATTCATTCTAGGAATACATTGATGGTTCAACATGCATAAATCAATAAATGTAATACAGCATATTAACAAAGCCAAGGACAAAAAATACACGATCATCTCAATAGATGCTGAAAAACATTTCACAAAGTCCAGTACCCATTCATGATAAAGCTCTACAGAAAATTGGAAGAGATAATCCTCATCTCAATCTAATAAAAGTCATCCATGACAAACCAACAGCCAACATCATACTAAACAAACAAAGACTGAAAAGTTTCACCCTGAATTGAGGAACATGACCAAAGATGTCCACTATATTCACTCTTATTCAACATAGTATTGGAAACGTTAGCCAAAGCAATTAGACATGAGAAAGAAAGAAAAGGAGTAATGATAGAATGGAAGAAGTTTAAATTATAATTATTTTATCATGATGATGTAATATTATATGGGGAAAACCCAAAAATCTGCACTAAAAACTTCTATTTAATAAGCAAATTCAGTAGTGTAACTGGATATAATCAATGTTAAAAAATCAATATAGCGCTTCTGTACATGAATATTAACAAAGCCACTGATAGAGAAATTAGGGAAACAACCCATTTCAAAAGAGCATCCAAAGCATGAACTATTTAGGAATCAAGCTAATTAAGCATGCAAAAGAAACATGAAAACTTCAGTACTCTGGAAAAGGAAATCAAAGAGGATATCAGAAAATGGAAAGATACACCTTGTTCTTCGGTAGGAAGAATCAACATAGTGAAAATGGCTATTTTTCTAAAACTGTTACATAGATTTAATGTAGCTCTGATAAAAATTACAACAGTTTAGCTCAGAATTAGAGAAAACACCTAAAATTCCTTGGGAAGAGGAAGAGACATAGAATAGCAAAGCAACTGTAGGAAAAAGGTGGGGCCAGGGACATCATAATCCTTGACTCAAGATTATACTACAAAGCTATTGTGATAAAAACATTACAGAGGCAAAAAGGACCTAAAGATCAATGGAACAGATTAGAAGATTCAGGAACAACTCCAGACATATTCAGGCGCCTTATCTTTGACGAAGGTGCCAAACACATTCACTGGAAGACAGACTCTCTAATAAATGGCGGTGGAAAAACTAGATTTCCACATGCTGAATGTTAATATTGCAGCCATATCTTTTACCATGCACTAAACTAAATTCAAAATGGATCAAAGATATAAATATTAAAACAGAAACATTAAATCTACTGGAACATTGAATAGGTAAAACTCTTACAGACATGGGTATAGCATAAAAAAAACTATGAATAAAACCCCAGTCACACAGGAACTATCACAAAGAATCAGCAACTAGGATCTCAACTTATTAAAAAGCTTTTACAAGCAAGAGAAACCACCAATAGAATGAAGAAACAACCAACAATGCGAGGAAAATGTTTGCCATCTGTTCCTCAGACAAAGGATTATTATCAAGAACATATAAAGAACTCAAAAAAAGTTGGACCTCCCAAATTTAAAGACACAATCTAAAAATAGTCATCAGAAATGAATACACACTTCTCAGATGAAGAAATACAAACAGCAAATAAATATGTGAAAAAAATGTTCAACAACACTGGTCATTCAAGAGATGCAAATTAAATTAACAGTGAGATTCCATCTCTCCCCAGAAACAATGACCGTTATAAAGAAACCAAGGAATAGTAAATGTTGGTGGATATGTAGGGAAAAAGAAACCCTTCTCCACTGTTGGTTGGAGTGTAGACTGGTGTAACCACTGTGGTAGTCATTGTAAAGATTCTTCAAAAAACTAGGATATTGGAGGGTCCACTTGACGCAGCTATTACCCTTCTGAGTATCTTCCAAGAAGAGTTAAAAATGTCATACCACAACAATATATGTGCATCTATTTATTGCAGCACAATTTGCAATAGCTAAATCTTGGAGATAACCTAAAAGTCCATTGACTGAGGAATGAATTATAAAATTTGTATTCTTTTTCTACAATGGAGTACTAGCCAGCTATAAAGAACAATAAATTGGAGACTTCTATGGGTAGATAGGTACAACTCAAGACCACACTCATGGGTGAACTAAAACAGGAGTATTGTCTCCCTAATATGAGAAGCTGAAGGAATAAATGAGATCCAAAATGTATAATAGACACCATAAAGATCGAAGAGACATCAAAAAGAAAGAGAAACTGGTACGGGAGAAAGGAGAAAAGAAGGAAGGGGAAAACAAGAACAAATAGAAAAGACAGTTAAGATAGTTATACTATTAATTTCTCTTAGTTCACTGAAAAGAAAGGTTTGTGCTCATATTATTTAGACAATTGAATGCTAATAGCTTGTACTCTGAGTAATTAAGTTAAAGGAAACAATACAATGTATTAAACAGTTACCCTCCTATATTCTGTTTGGAAATTTTGGTTTTGTTCTCTTTAGAATTAAAAAAGCAGTGGAAATCAAAAGTGCTTTAATTTTATCTGCATAGCACAAACCAAAAGTTGCTGAGGGTGAAGTAAAGGATTTACCAGGCCCTGAATTGTAGCCTAGTACTAAGGAGGAAAGAAGCAAACAAGCAAGGATGGAAGGGGAGGGAGTGGGGGGAGGGGAAGAGCAGGGTAAGAAGAGATGAGAAGAAAGTAGGAAAAGCAATAGCAGCCAACTATCTGGGCTTAGCTCACAGAGGTAATTGACATTTGGACCATAGGGTGTGAACCAACAAGAAGTGCTGTGCTGTGTTCTCTGTCCTAACTTCTGCTTCCTTGGGGTTTACTTCTCCAACTCAGCTGAGATTATTCTTTTTTTTTACGTATTTGGTTTTTGTATGGTCTCACTATGTAGCTCAGACTTATGGTGATCATCCTGCTTTCTGCCTCCCCAGTGCTGGGATTACAGGCATGTGCCACTATGCCTGGAACTGGCTGGCTCAGCCTGCCCTGGGGGTGGGGCTGGCTTGGAAGGGTGCCAGATATCAAACCGCAGTCCCTGTGCTTGCCTAAGCTTGCCTAAGTTTGCTGAGCTATCTCGCTGGCCCATTTTGCTTCTTAATATCAAAGATCAACTACAAAAGTCACTTACTACAAATTTAACTTAATTTTAGTTACATCATGAAAAGCAAATATTTTCATAGACACTTGTGAATCTAAGAAAGAGAACGGTGACTCATCGCTGGAACTCTGCAATGGAGAAGTCACAGGAAGGACCCACGGTGAGTCTAGCCATGGTGCTGCACCGACAGGCAGCCCTGTGCAGGCGAGAGCAGGTCTTCATACCCAGGTTGTCCTCCAGGGCAATAAACTGAATGCGCTATTTAAGACTTTACATTTTGATGGGCACAGATTAGATTTGGTTCACTTTATGTTCAATGAACACTTTTTACAAGTATTTTGAAAAATGAAAATGAAAAGCTTGCAAAGATTCCCTTTGATAAAGGTAATTGAGACATGAAAATTCAAATACTGAGTCAGTAGAAAAGCAGTACAGTGAAAAATAAAAATATGCAGATATGAAAATAATAGGAAGAAGTGTCTGATGATGAATAAAGCATACTCAAGGTATACCTGTTAACATAATTCGAAGAGTTTTAGTGCAGCTCTAGATTTTTTCTTTTTTTTGGTGGAACCAGGGATTGAACTCAGGCCCTTGTGCTTGCCAGGGAAGCACTTATTCCACTGAGCCGTCTCCCCGGCCCACAGCTCTAGATTTTTAATGCCTACTGATTTGCTACTACAAAAAGTAAGTAAATCAAAATTTTGCAAACTTACTTCAAGAAGCTAAAAGAATTACCTAATTTTTCTGTTTGTTTTGGTAATACTTATTTATGAATAATATTACTAAACAATTATTTTTGGAGCATATCAGTAATAAACATAAGAATAAAAGTGATACCATATTCAGCATTTCAATAATATAGTTTCTTAAGCATTATTTTAAAAAACTCTACAACTTTACAAATAATATATATGGCCTATAAAATCTAAGAGCCATAAGCCATTTACTGTATCATCATTCACATTATATAAGTGCAACCAAAAATTAAAGGAATTGACTGAATGTGTCAGACGTAGAACTATCAAGTTGGGTAGCAGAACCACGTCCTTTCCATTGAGTACTACATCTTCTCTCTGAAGATTCCTGCAGTATATCCACACCTGCATATGCAGGGGCAATGAACATACACAAATATGCCTTCTGCATATATACAAAGGTTGGCCTCTGAAACAGCAAGGTGTTGAACCCATGGGGACCACGAAGAACCAACCTGGTGTCACCACCACTCCGTTCCCGTTGGCCACAGACCTCTCCTCCTCATCTTCCTCTGGAGGCTCTATGCTTGCTTTCTCCATGTTGCTCACTGACTTGTTTCTCTTCCGTTTTCCTTCGGCACTTGGAGTGGCTCCCGGAAGGATGTGGTCTGTTACATTTAACAGCAACGGTGCCGGTTCAGCTGGAGGCTTTGGGGTACCGTAGTAATTATCTGCAAAGGATAGCAAAATGGTGGGGGGTCATTCCTTGTCCATCTGTGGACATCATGTGCAAAGAACAGCAGGGATATCACTCAGTGCACACCCTATTTTATAGCACACAGACATACACACGTACACACATGGTTTTATATTGTATATATACACACATATAAATGTATCTTTGTCATTTCTATTGCACTTTAATGCTTAAAGATAGAGATGAACCTCTTTTGGTACCATATTTGTTTCAAGTCAGAATATAGTTTTGTATTTTATTCCTAAATGGTATGCAGTTAACTTCAAAATTATTCAAAGTTTTCTTGATCACAAGACTTGAGTATAAATTTCTAAAAATAATTATGTTACGACTGCAGGTAGTATTTGCATTTGAGTTTTACTGTTGCTTGCCTCTTCCTCTGTTGTTGAAAAGCAAAGCCCTGGAGCTTTTCTCCAGCCTTCAGGGAGGAGGGCAACTGTCCTGGCCCAGGCCACACCCTGCTCAGTTGCATCAGTGCCCTCTTAGGGCCGCCCACGCTGAGGGTGGAGCTGCTGCCGAATCACGCTGCCTTCACCACTCGTTTCCCTGCAGCTCAGTACTGAACTATGGAATCATTGGTTCCCTCATCGGTCTGTGAGCTTTTTGTAAAAAGGAGATTTATTTGTACTTTTATCTGTGATGAGAACCTGACATACAATAAGCATGAAATAAAAGCTTATTATGTGATGAATGCGTATGTTTGCATTTGTGCATAAGACAAATTGCTGAGTAGTGAATATATTTTCCAGTTGTCATTGGTAAAGAACATAGGCATTGCTTTGTAGATGGATCTTGTATTTCCAACACCATGTGCAAGTCCAGGCTAGTGTTTTCCACAAATGGTGGACTTTGTGCCCCCTTTGATACCTCACTGAAATTACTTTTTGTACTGCCTGTGCACCTTGCAGTGCCTTGGGTGTTGGAGGAAATGACAGCTGGCATAAACTCTGGGTGCTCAGCAGTTTGGAGTGCAGGCTGGCATTGACACCCAGCAGAAAGCTAGCTGGCAGGAAGCAGGACTGAGCTCTGAGGCCAGGGGTACACAGCAGGAAGGGGGACCCCACTCCACCTATGGAGGCCTTGCAGGCAGACACCAGGAAGGGCACAGGCGAGAATTAGCCTGGCCTCTGCTGTGCTGCTCCAACTCACGCAGTTCTCCTAAACTCGGGAAGACTCGGGTTCTGTGTGTGGGAGAGGACCAGAGTTAGTTGTCAGAAGCACTTTTGTCCTGGGCTGTCAGCCACCAAAACCTGCTTTGCTGAAATGCAACAAAGGTGTCTGCAAAAGATGGGAGAGGATCATCTGAGTGGAAAGGCTGAAAAGCTTTGGTGCAGAGGGGTACGGGACCAAGGAGTCGGTCATGACACACGCTGCCTCTCTTGGGCGCTGAAGGCTGTAGCTGGCTCTCTGTCCCAACACAGGTTGCTTGAGGAAAGAGCCCAGTGGAGCACCTCGGTGCTCTGATTCTCTGTCATGTAAACTCCCAGACAGGCCTGGAGCTGGCCGAACCCCCTTCCCTGGAGAGCGCTGCTTCCCATCCTTTCCAGTGGCTGCTTCAATGAAAAGGGCTTGGGGGTGCTGGGCAGGCAGAACTACCAAAGGCCCCCTTTCTCCCTGGGTCATGATGAAGGTGAAGCCAGTGTATGAGGAAGAAAGTCAAAAGCTACAAAGTTGCAGGGTGTCCCTGTGGCATGGGCTCAAGCTCACAAAGTGGGCATGGGTTCTAAAGATGGTAACCCTCTGGATACTGTCACTCACTTTCATACATCTATACAGTGGCCATGGTAGTACAAGAAAGATAACTACCTTGTCAAATTGTTCATACAGATGTAATACATTTTTCTTTGACAGTAGTTCACACAGTGGCTGACACACATCTTGACAGTTTATTAGATTTAGAGCACCCCTCCCCAGCGCTGGGATTACAGGCGTGCACCACCATGCTTGGACTCAGAGCTGGCTCAGCATGCCCCAGCGGCAAGGCTGGTGCAGCATGTAGTACTGAGGATCCATCCCTGGTCCCTGCACTTGCTATAGCAGGCGCTTATTCCGCTGAGCTATCACGCCAGCTCATTTCCTGGCCAAATTCTGAACAAATCAAAATCGCTAATTGCTCCCTAGAAGTGATGAATCATTAGAGTCCAGCATTCTGAAGGACAAGAAAGCTCTGCCTTCCATGCTTTCTATGGATCTTGCCACATAAACTTCTTCTCTGGTAAGTATCATCTGAGCTAGTAGCTACTCTCCAAACAGCTACCTGAGTTTTATTTCAAGTAGCATTTGGAGATCTCTAATCCCTTTAAATATACATAGTACTAGCAAAAATGGATCACACTTTAGTCTTTTCCCTTGTCTTTTGAGTTTCAAATGTCCCTGAGGTAGCCAGTGTTTTATTAATTACAAAAAGGAGATAGCAGGGGCTAAAATAGATATAAATTAATAGATCCTGTTATGTTTATATTATTAATTATACTTTTTTATGGTATGATTTTTAATTATACAGCAATATTGTTCTGCACTATGCTTTATAAAATTAACACATCAGTAAGTTTGGGGAGTAAAATTGTACAAGTCATTAGATAAGACATTACAATCATCTTCATTAGCCAAAATAGCAGCTTAAGAGAGGACCCAGGTGACCTGTACAGTTACTACATTTGAGAAAGAACAACGGGGACTAGGCTGTTATGTGACACCAAGATTTTTATCCTATTGCATAGAAAGTGCCTAGACCACCATTTGAAAGATCAGCCCAGCAGTCACTTAGCCAAGCAGTGTCTCTCTAAAACAACTACGTACAAATCCATGCACAAAGCAAAAATGTGCTTTTTCAGAAATATGTTTTCAGAACAAAATAAACACCCAAATGTTTTAAAATATAATTGGGAAATATTTTCCCACCAAGAATGAAGTGCCTCTGTGCAACACAGTGCCAGGATTTAGTAAATGTCAAACCTCTAAAAAACCAAACCAAAAATATCTACAATGCAATGTGACATCGAGTGGCATAGACACTGGTAACTGAGTTATCCATGACTCTGAACTCTGGGTAGCTGATCTGCCCATGTATGGGCTGTGGTTTGGTGAGTCCACTCACTGCAGCACCCATGCCTTCTGTCCTAAAACTTGGAGGCTGAGGCGAGAGCATTACTCCCGAGAAGCAGCCCCAAACCCAAGCGGGCAAAGTATCGCAACCCCATCTCAAACATAATATTTTTTAAAAAAGCAATGGTGACCACTACCACTATTATTACCAGAGCCACTGCCACAATTCACCACCTGGACACTGTAACAGGTGTCTTGCATAAGCAGTCTTATATCAGGTGGGGCTTAGAGTGGCTCTTAGTCCCCAAGGCTCTCCCAGAGATGAACACCAACACGGGACAAATGGTAGGACTGGACTGGATCTGATGCTCATGGCTTGAGGCTTCTCTTGGGATTTATTCATCTCTAAACAGTATGAAGTCATTCTGCTGCTGCAGTCAAGAAAACAGAAGCCCAGAGAAATTCAACCACCTCCCAGTATCTTAAATGAGGCAAGTGAAAATCCTCTGCCTGCTTGATTTAAGACCTCATCTCCTTTCAAAATGCTACATTACCTCGCATGAGAGGAAAATAAAAGAGGTGACACAACTTTCAGTTGGCTCAGAAACACACAATAAGACTTCATTTAAAGCCAACCAGTGAATACAAAATATCACTTTCAAAAGAGACAGGCAATATGGCCACCAAAGTATACAATAGCGACATTTGAGGTGATTTATCCCAACTCTTCTTCCAAAAATAATTGTGTGCACAATTTGGGGAGGAAGTGGGATGAAATAGGTTTTTCTAGATCAGTTTTCATGGGATGTATTTGTAAAGAATGACCTGTGCATTGGGACATTCATGTAACGTTAGTATGAAACCCCACTAAGGCACTGTGGCCTCAACACAGGTAAATTCTCTACTCAGTACTGTCACGTGAGCACCACCTGGAAGCTCCCACATTCTAATTTTTAATTAATGTCTGAAAAATAAATGTGGCAATCACTTGAGGAGCCCCAGTTGCCACTCAGCTCTAGTTGTTTCTTTCCATAGACATGGGGCTAGGACAGTCAATCAGCATGAGCACACCCATGTTAAAAATGGAAATGCTTTTAGGGATTTGAATAAAATGAAAAATCTAAACTGTCAATAACTTAAAATCTATAATAAATCCATTTTGTAAATGCCTACTTGCACTGCATCGGGTTATTCTCAGTGATGGCAAAGGGTGAAGGGCGGCAACAAATCTCACTGTTAGGAACTCAAGCCTCCATGTGAAGTCCTTGCCCACCTGACACCAGCATCCCCAGGAGATGAGAATTGCTTTCTGAGTAACTTTCCAGGACTATGTGGGAAAGCCATCACAGCATTATGTCTGTGCTTTCTCCACATTTGGCAAAATGAGGTTTTGAGAAAAATCTTTAACCCGTTTCAATTTTTCTTTCTAAAATATTTATTAGCAGTACATTCCATGTGGGGAGTTGGTAGTGGTACACGATATATCTCAATTCTTTTCATCTCCTCTCCCATCTCTTGGTCCCCTTGTACTTAGCAAAAGACCCATCTCCCAGGTTCCTGTATCTGTTCTTTATTTTGTTCAAATTTATGTTTTCAGTTGCTCACATAAGAGAACTGGATAAAAAACTGTGTCATCTCAGTTTATTTAAGTAAGGTTTTATCTACCCAGGACTTTCTATATTTGATGTTAATGGTGAGGCCAAGGGGAAGAAAGGAATAGGAAAGTATTTCAATGAATTTTAAATTATTCCTTTTTCTGTATCTCTGGTTTTGTTGGACAGATGCCAAAACAGCGTTTTGCGAGAGGCACCAAATTCTTTATGCTTTTAAATTCTGATGTTATGACAATTAGTAGAAAAGATAATGATGACTAATTTTAGGTATGAGGAAATATAAAACTGCTAGTAGCAAGTACCTTAAATATGTTCA